TGTTGTCAAATTATTTTTAAAAAATATTAGAGGTTTCAGGGTTTCAAATGAACACTTTTTTATTTTGTCCAAACTAACAGTCATGGAAATAAAAATGCTAGAAAGTTAATTTTCGTGTTCCGTTACATGTGTGAGCCACTGTATACTAAGAATCAAACTTATTTTTAATTAATTTTATTTATTTAGCGTTAGAAAAAATTTGTACAAATTCTCAGTTTCTTTTAATAAACATAATTTGTTCTATCAAACAGCTATTTAATCGATTTTGTTCAGGTGTAATTAAGTTCTCATATCTGAAAATAGACATTCAGATGGAACTAATGTGGCAGGAATTGTCAAATATTTGCGTGCAAGTTGTGAAAGAATTGGGTATAGGGATAGGAATCGATTCTCAACTCAAAATTGATTCTCAAGCACAGATTACGACGACAGCAAGCGATGACATAACTGGTCTTTGGTTTTGTTTTTCATTGCATGTTGATTTTTTCCCTTTTTGTGGAATAGGTGAAGTTGTACTTTGATTAGTTGAAATTACAATGAAATTATGCTTTGATTAGTTGAATTCGTAGAGATAATACGTGATAAAGATGGTATAGAAGTAATTTAAGTATTGTCATCAGATTGAGATCCTGCATCCGTTTTATTACATGTATTTCTGTTGTTTCATAAATATCATTCAAATTTGGATCAATCTCAATTACTTTTGGCATTAGCATTAGTATCACTATCATAGTTATTGAACTTTATATTGGCAAGGGTTTCTTGGTTATTATTAATATTAAAATTTTTGTTGAATGACAGAGTTTGTCATGTGCCAAATCATTTACGTACATGTTTCGTTTTTAACAAGTGAAAATCATGATTTTCCAATTGCATGTACGTATTCACGTACACAATTTATGCATTATCGTATTCTAAAATTTTAATCGATTTTCAAAATTTAACGTTAATCGATTATTAAATTTTAATCGATTATCAAATATTAATCGATTCTACAAAATTAATCGATTCTCAGAATCGATTCTAAATTAATTGATTCTAGAGAATCGATTCCTATCTCTAGTTTATATCCTCCTTGTATGTCAACGAGACATAAAAAAAATTTTTTTAAGTCATTAGACTATTATTGGACATCATTGGTCGTCATTGGATTTAGAACTTCAAATGGACAAATTCTCATTGGAAGAGCCTCAATGGCATTAATAATTGGAACCTACTGCGCCATTTGGAATCATTCCAATAATCATCCAATTCCAATCATTGCCATTGGAATCTTCCCATGAGCATCACTGAGATATGGTGTATAAATCTAAAGTCATCAAACGTTTGTATTTTATAAACTGTATAAACCTCTTTACTAAGAAGTAAATTCAAAATTTAATCCGTGAATATGATAGAATATGCCTTTCCTGAGCATATTCACGGATTAAATTTTGTATTTACTTCTTTGTAAAGAAGTTTATACAGTTTATAAAATACAAACGTTTGATGACTTTAGATTTATACACCATACATGTTTCAATAAGTACCCTAGACACGGCGAAAAAAAGAGTCAGATCACGTGCTGCTGGCGGCACAGACCAATAAAAATACGTAAATTTTGATCAGCCCGGCAAAACAAATCCGACACAAGAAAATAAAAAAAGCAAAAAATGTAAAAAACACGGAAAACAGATACCTAAATCTAGCTTGATACACTAAAAAAATGTCGGAAAGACAATTTTACATATAATATTGACTCCAGCTCTAACCCTAACCCTAATCCTAACCTTTAAATTAACCTTTACAATAATCTTTAACAATAACCTTTATTACCGTAGAATTTTTCCGGACATACACAAATATCACATGATCCGACACTTTTTTTCGCCGTGGCTAGGGTTCTATAATTCAATTGCATGACATATATGCCTATCTTTTTCTATCATCAATGTTTGTTTCAGGATCTTTGAGTTTCCAAGACCAAAAGTTGCAAATTTTCTTTTGTAAATACATGTAACGTAAATAAACATTACTACAGTGGCGATCATAATTAATGCAACAAAAAAAAAATTTTCGTTGAATTGAAATATTTCATGCAAATTCGGAGATA